AGGACATAATGTGGATTATACGAGTCCACACGGCTGGATAATCCGGTTTGCAGAGTTTGAGTGGCATTTCCAGAGAGAGAGAGCTTCCTCTCAAAAGGAATTCCCAGGCTGGATGTCTGCACAGCGCATGCGCAAGGAGAGAGAGCGGGGGGCTACCACCCCTATTCGCCTAGCGAGAGGAAAGAGCGGATCTGCGCACGCGCGTGTGTGAGTCTTTCTCTCCGTCTGTCTCCCCCTGCACGGCGCATGCGCAAGGATTCCCCACCTTGCCACCCCTATTCGGCGAGCGAGAGAAAAGAGCGGATCTGCGCACGCGCGCGTGTGAGTCTCTCTGTCTCCCCCTGCAGGATTCCCTCCTTGCCACCCCTATTTATCTAGGATCTGCGCATGCGCACATCCGCCTCTCTCTCTGTGTGAGTCTTTCTCTCCCTGTGCCTGCCTCCCCTCCCCCTCCCGCGGGGCCTTCCTGGTCCGAGGCGGGCTGCCCTTGGCGCTGCCTGAGCCCCCGCTCCGCCGCCGCCGCCATCTTGCCCGAGGACCCCTTCGCGCCGGGACACGGGGGACCCCGCTCTCGCCGCCTTGCCGCTCACCCGGGCCGGGGCCCGCCTCCCCCGCGGGATCCCTCCTGCTCCGCCGCCGCCGCCTCCTCGTTCTCTTTCCGGACCGGCACTCGCCAAGACGCCCTCCACTCCGCCGCGGAGGGATCCCTCGCGCGGACCCTTCCGCCGCCGCCCTTCTGCCGGGACTATTTCTTTCGGAAGCCGGCCCGGGAGCGCCCTCCGGTCAGCGCCTTCTGCTCCTTGCCCTTCCTCCGAGCCTCGGCTGCCAACGCGACTTCGGCAACGCCGTGGCGCGTCGCGAGGGAGGCTTCTCCCGCCGGACTACTTTTTTCTCCTTCCTGCGGAGGGCGACTTCGCGGACTCTTTGCGATGGGACATGATCACGTGACGAAGGCGGAAGTAAGGCGAGAGAGTCAGAGGAGAGGAGAGGCCACGTGCCTGGCAGCCCAACAGTCCAGGCAGGCGGTAATAATAATAGTAATAATAATAGTAATAATGTTATAATAATTTATTAGCATAATAAGAGATAATAATATAGTAAAATAATACAATAACATATATAATAATAATAATAATAATAGAAAGAGAAATATAATAATGGAATGGTATTAGTGTATTAAAATATAATAAGAATGAATTTGAAATAATAATAATAATAATAATAATGTTATAATAATGTATTAGCATAATAAGAAATAGTAATATAGTAAAATAATGCAATATATAATGTATTGCATAAATACTATGCTAATAATTGTACTATGTACTATGCTAATAATTTAATATATTGTATGTGTATATATATATATATATATATTATATATACATACAATATATTAAATTATTAGCATAGTACAATATCAGTATTATATATTACTATATTGTATTACACCATTATATTGTAATATTATTAATAATATTAAATGTAATATAAAATCTATATTTATAATACTGTATTATTAGTAGTATAATGTATTGCATTATATATATATATATTCATATATATAATATATATTTATATATAAATAAATAAATAATAAATAAATATATACACACGCACAATATATTAAATTATTAGCATAGTACAATATCAGTATTATATGTTACTATATTGTATTACACCATATATAATAATAATATATTACACCATATATAATAATAGTATATTACACCATATATAATAATAATTATAATAATAGTTAGAAGTAGAAATATAATAATGGAATATTATTAGTATGTTGAAATATAATAAGAATGAATTTGAAATAATATTAATAATAATATAATAACAAAAACACAGAACTCCAACGCCCACCATTCCTAACAGCCGGTAGTAATAATAAACATAATCATAATCAATGTTATAATAATTTATTAACGTAATAAGAGATAATATAGTAAAATAATATAATAACCATTAAAATAATACAATAAAAATACAAGATGCGGGAAAAGGAGACCTCGAATTCGGCCTAATTCGGACCGCTTATCTATATTAACAACCCCCAACCGGTCTCCTAAGGTAAATTGGTGTAACCAGGTGAGCGGGCCCTCTGGTTTGAAGGTGGTGTTGTTGAACGCCAGATCTGTCAACGGAAAAACAACTTGGATCCAGGATTTAATCCTGGAGGAGCGGGCAGATCTGGCGTGCATCACGGAGACCTGGCTGGATGAAGCGGGGGGCGTAAACCTCTCCCAGCTTTGTCCTCCAGGCTTCTCCGTGCAACACCAACCAAGAGCCGGAGGACGGGGAGGCGGGGTCGCAGTGGTCTATAGAGATTCCATCCATCTGACCAGGAGTCCCATCCCGCAGACCACAAATTTTGAATGCGTCCACCTGAGGGTGGGTGACCGGGACAGAATAGGGATTCTGCTAGTGTACCGTCCACCTCGCTGCACTACAGTCTCCCTGCTTGAGCTAGCGAGGGTGGTCTCGAGCCTGGCGTTGGAGTCTCAACGGCTTCTGGTGCTGGGAGACTTCAATATCCATGCCGAGGCGACCCTCACAGGAGCGGCTCAGGACTTCATGTCTGCCATGGCAACCATGGGGCTGTCCCAACAAATATCTGGCCCCACCCACTGTGCTGGACACACATTGGACTTGGTTTTCTGTCAGGGATGGGAGCAAGGTGGCGGTGTGGAGGAGTTGTCCATCTCTCCGTTGCCATGGACCGACCACTTCCTGATCAGATTTAGGCTCACTGCGCCCCCTAACCTCTGCAAAGGTGGAGGACCCATTAAGATGGTCCGCCCCAGGAGGCTTATGGATCCGAATGGATTCCTGACGGCTCTTGGGGATTTTCCCGCCACCTTGGTAGGTGACCATGTCGAGGCCTTGGTCGCTCTCTGGAATGGGGAGATGACCAGGGCAATTGACATGATCGCTCCGGAACGTCCCCTCTCAAGTAACCGAGCTAAACCATCTCCTTGGTTCACTGAGGAGTTGGCAGCGATGAAGCGAAGGAAGAGGGAACTAGAGAGCGTGTGGCGCTCGGACCCAAGCGAGCCAAATCGAACACGGTTTGTGTCCTTTTTAAGGGCATATGCCGCGGCAATAAAAGCCGCAAAGAAAACTTTCTTTGCGGCTACTATTGCGTCTGCAAAAAACCGTCCGGCGGAGTTGTTTCGGATTGTCAGAGGTCTTTTAACTCCCGCCACCTCAGGCGGGAGCCCTGACAACTCGGTCACGCGCTGTGAAGCATTTGCTCAGTTCTTTGCAGACAAAGTCGCTTTGATCCGTTCTGGTCTGGACGCCATGTTAAATGCAGTCTCTGTGGATGTAGCAAGAGCACCTGCTTGTCCTATTTTGATGGATTCATTTTCAATTTGTGAAACCCGAGGATGTGGACAAGATACTTGGAGGAATGAGGCCTACCACGTCCATCCTAGACCCCTGCCCATCCTGGCTTCTGAAAGAGGCCAGAGGGGGATTGGCTGAGTGGGTAACGGTGGTGGTGAATGCCTCCCTTCGGGAAGGCACGATTCCAGCGAGCCTAAAACAGGCTATTATAAAGCCGCTGTTGAAGAAACCATCACTGGACCCCACTAAATTTGACAACTTTCGGCCTGTTTCCAATCTTCCCTTCTTGGGCAAAGTCATGGAAAGCGTGGTGGCCTCACAACTCCAGGTATTCTTGAGAGACACGGATTATCTGGATCCGGCACAGTCCGGCTTCAGACCGGGACATGGTACCGAGACGGTCTTGGTCGCCTTAGTGGATGATCTCCGTCGGGAGCTAGACAGGGGGAGTGTGTCCCTGTTGGTGCTCCTGGACCTCTCAGCGGCCTTCGATACCGTCGACCACGGTATTCTTCTGGGACGCCTTGCAGAGATGGGCCTTGGGGGCACCGCTTTGCGGTGGCTCCAGTCATTTCTGGAGGGTCGCACCCAGAAGGTGTTATTGGGGGACGCCTGTTCAACACCACAGCCTTTGACCTGTGGTGTTCCTCAGGGATCCATACTGTCCCCCATGCTATTTAACATCTACATGAAGCCGCTGGGTGAGATCATCCGGAGTTTCGGGGTGCGGTGTCACCTGTACGCAGATGACGTCCAACTCTGTCACTCCTTTCCACCTGCTACTAAGGAGGCTGTCGAAGTCCTGAACCGGTGCCTGGCCGCTGTATGGTCTGGATGAGGGCGAACAAACTGAAATTAAATCCAGACAAGACAGAGGTACTCCTGGTCAGTCGCAAGGCCGAACAGGGTATAGGGTTACAGCCTGTGCTGGACGGGGTCGCACTCCCCTTGAAGGCGCAGGTTCGCAGCTTGGGTGTGACCCTGGACTCATCGCTGAGCCTGGATCCCCAGGTTTCAGCGGTGACCAGGGGAGCATTTGCACAGCTTCGGCTTGTGCGCCAGCTGCGCCCGTATCTTGGGAAGTCTGACTTGGCCACGGTGGTACACGCTTTGGTCACATCCCGCCTCGACTACTGCAACGCTCTCTACGTGGGGCTGCCCTTGAAGACGGCCCGGAAGCTCCAGCTAGTCCAGCGCGCGGCAGCCATGTTGTTAACCGGAGCGGGACGCAGGGAGCGCACAACGCCCTTGCTGTCCCAGCTCCACTGGCTGCCGATTAGCTACCGGGCCCAATTCAAGGTGCTGGTGTCTAACCTACAAAGCCCTAAACGGTTCCGGCCCAAAATACCTTGAGTACCGCATCTCGGCCTATGAGCCCACGAGGACCTTAAGATCATCCGGGGAGGCCCTTCTCTCAGTCCCGCCGGCCTCACAGGCACGCTTGGCGGGGACTAGAGAGCGGGCCTTCTCGGTGGTGGCCCCCCGGCTGTGGAACTCCCTCCCTGCTGAAATTAGACAGGCGCCCTCCCTCATGGCCTTCCGTAAGGGCCTGAAAACCTGGCTCTTCGAAAAGGCCTTCAATTAAGTGCTGTGTTTTTGGAATGACCACCGGAATGGATTATGACGACGAGATTGATTATGACCCAAACAAGACGAAGCGGATTTTTAGTTTAATTAGCTGTGTGTTAGTAAGATGTGTGTTGTGATCTTGATTTACTGTAACTGTCTGTTCTATGTTTGTACACCGCCACGAGTCGCCTTCGGGCTGAGAGTGGCGGTAACAAGTGCAAATAATAAATAAATAAATAAATATTATTATTATAGTTAGAAATACAAATATAATAATGGAATAGTATTAGTATATTAAAATATAATAAGAATGAATTTGAAATTAGAATAATAATATAAGAACAAAAACACAGGATGTCTCCAGAGCCCACCATTCCCAACAGCCGGTAATAATAATAATAATAATGATGATGTTATAATAATTTATTAACATAATAAGAGATAATAATATAGTAAAATAATAGAATAATCATTAAAATAATACAATAACATATATAATAATTATTATAATAATAGTTAGAGAAATATAATAATGGAATAGTATTAGTATATTAAAATATAATAAGAATGAAGTTGAAATAATAATAATAATAATATAAGAACAAAAACACAGGACTCCAACGCCCACCATTCCCAACAGCTGGTAATAATAATAATAATAATAATAATGTCATAACAATTTATTAACATAATAAGAGATAATAATATAGTAAAATAATAGAATAACCATTAAAATAAGACAATAACATATATAATAATTATAATAATAGTTAGA